AGTCGTGAACTCGCTGTGGTTCAGTCCGCGGGAGCAGATCCAGTTCACGGCATTAACTACCACGCTCATGATGTGGTCCATCTTTAACTTTTGAGCACAGAGCGATTCCGGGTGAATAATGCAACAAACGGACTTCAGATCTGAGCCCTTGCAAGCCATCGCCACCTTGGACTTGAGTTTTGTGACCAGCCCGTCGTTGGCATCTACCATTGCAGGAGTGCCAGTTGAGGCCACACTTACTAATTTCGACCAGTCGATATTAAACTTTTTAAGACTTTTCTCAACACGCAAAAATATCTCATTTCCAGATTTTGTCCCCGTCATGGGCACCGTATCCAAAAGTTCTTCCGATACATCAAAATTCTCATCAACGCCGCGGATGAATATGGCCAACTGGGTGGTGTTATTTATATCTGTGATCTCGTCGATGGCAATAGAATAGGCCACAAATGATCTGATTTTTTCACGTAATTTCTCCCATAAGTTCCCAGCCACGTCTTCTATGGGCTGGACGGCAGGGTTTTCCTTTGGACTCACATTTGCAAACACTCGTTTTTGCTCGGGACACACGATGTCTGATGACCCTAAGAGATACTTTCTGAGCCCTTTCTTCAGCTCCTGGAGCTTCTCGTCGCGCATCTTCTCTGTGTACTGGTCATAGTGCTTGCTGTGGTTGGTTTGATAATGGCGTCTCAGGTTGTATTCTTTGGACACAGACATGCTCTGTTTGCATATTAAACACGTAGGGATATTCTGCACCTCCACGAAGAAATATGCTCTCTCCCACTTTTCTTGAAATACACGGCCCTCTTGGTCTATCTTTCTTTTTCCCACTTTTGATAGAAACATGGAGACAAGAAACAGTTCAGTTTTCTCTTAAATCGACTGTTAGTCTAACACCAGCAAGAGCATGATGACAAATGCAAGGGATAAGGTGGCGGGGTGGGGCGTGGTTAACTGGAGAGCACCCCAGCCCTGCAGAGGTGGGGGGTGAGGACGGGGGACACTCGGGGCAAGCGAACTACTGCCAGAGGGAGCATGGCCCTGGCCTGCCCAGATCTTCAGATTGCTAAAGAAAACCTGGAAATGGACTTTTATGAAAAAGTCCCCGGTGTTTCAATGTTGGCCACTAATTCCCTTTCTTAAAAGGTAGATGAGCCAAGGGGCTTCCCTGGTGGCTCAGTGGTTAAGAATCCGCCTGCCAATGCAGGGAACACGGGTTCGAGTCCTGGTCCAGGAAGATCGCACATGCCATGGAGCAACTAAGCCCGTGCACCACAACTACTGAGCCTGCGCTCTAGAGCCCGTGAGCCACAACTACTGAGCCCGCGTGCCACAACTACTGAAGCCTGCGCACCTAGAGCCCGTGCTCCACAACAGGAGAAGCCACCACACCGCAACAAAGAGTAGCCCCCGCTTGCTGCAACTAGAGAAAGCCCGTGCGCAGTAACACAGACCCGATGCAGCCATAAATAAATAAATAAATGAATGAATAAATAAATAAATAGATAAAATTAAAAGGTAGATAAGCCAAAAGAAAGACAACTTTGGTGAGGTTCAGCAAGTGGCTATGCTTGCTCATGTGGTTTAAATGAGAATGATTTGAAAGTGTATCTGCATTTTAACATATATTTTTTCATTTGATTTTCAAGAGAAGTTTGAAATAACAGAGAAGGGAATGAGCACAGAAGACGTATGATTTAACTGCTATGAGTCCCAAAAGACACCGGTGATAGCCACAGACCCTCACAGAACTTACTTGTTTTCAATGTAAAGAAATGGGCCACGATGCAGGTGAGCTTTACTTTGAAAGAACATAGGTATAAAAATTCACTTTAAGAAAATGTAGGCAGAGACAAGCAGTCAATTTAGTGGCTGCCTGGGGCTGGGGGTGGGAATGGGAAATGACCAGAAATGGGTAGGAGGAATCTTTCAGGTGGGGGTGGAGATGTTCTAATATTAGATTGTGGTGATAGTTGCACAACTCCGTAAATATACTAAAAATCACTGGATTGTGTACAGTTTGCACAAGTGAATTTTACGGTATGTAAATTTATGCCACAATAAAGCTATTAAAAACGTAAAAAGCTATTTAACAACCAGAGGAGTTTAGGAATAATAATTGTGGATTTTAAAAGAACACTTTAGTTTCCAAATTTAAATGAGGAGGTTCCCTAGATGACTCTTGGGAACATTGTTACATGTTATGCTTTTTTTTCTTTCTATAGGTACTTTACTTTTTTAGAATTTTATTGAAATATACTTATTTACAATGTTGTGTTAGTTTCAGGTGTACAGCAAAATGATTCAGTTATATATACATATGCATATATATATAAATATATATATATATTCTTTTTTAGATTCTTTTCCATTATAGGTTATTGCAAGATGAGTATAGTTCCCTGTGCTATACAGGAGGTCCTTGTTGGTTACACCTTCTGCTTTAATATCCAATAGGATTTTGACTTGCTTGCAAGGACTTTAGGGGAGACATTAAAAATATTTAACAAGTAGAGTGGCTGGGACATTGCGCAATCAGAACAGAAGTCAACTGGAGTGGGTTCTGGGAGCCCTGCTGTGCCAGGCCCTGTTGGTTCTGCACTGTGGGGAGGTCAGGGGTGGCCAGGCAGGTACTATTTACCAAATAAGGTAGAGTAGTAGTTCAGTATTATGATATGAGCCACCCCCGCCAACCCCATAAAGGACTCTTGAATAAGAATGTGGTATGTTATCACACACAGCAAGCTCCATCAAATTGTTATATGAGAAAAAAATGCCTGGCTAATAAAACTCGAGCAACAGAATTAAAGGGCTTTAAAAGAAGCAGAAAAAACAAAATGCACATAAAGAGTGGCATGCTTTGCTCTTTCTGGTGGTGAGTGTCCACCGAGACAGCGCACGTGGCACAGCAGGGGCTAGGACCATCTTCTCCCCCCCAGGATACTCACCATTGCTGAGTTCAAGGCCGGGAAGTGGTCTGAAGAGAAAGAGACATTGGTGAGTGCAACAGAGGTCACTCTTCCTCTCTTGTCCATTTAGTTCTATTTGACAAACTTTTGTGAGTGTCAGTGCGAGGCTAAACTAAAACAGGCTGCCCACGATCACCAAGAAAAGGGAGCGAGGACACACAGCTCCCAGAAGCAGAATACGATGAACTGAGTGTGACAGGCAGCATGACATAACACTTGACTGCAGGGACCCACAGCCCACGTCCTGGGGTTAGAATCCCTGTGCCCCCCAGCTTCTCCACCTCGAGCAAGTTACGATCAGCAGCTCATTCTCCTGACCAGGCAGGGGACTCTCACGTACCTGATGACTGTGAATTTGATAAATTCTGCGGCATCCAAGATCCTTCTCATGGAGCTGATTTCCAGGTAGCCAGGGGCTTTGAATACCACCCCCGGGGGCATGCCATCGATGACCACACAGCCAGGGTTGAAGGTGATCTTCCTGTAGGGAACTTTAACAGGGAAATCCACTCCAATTGCTTCACCTGTGATGATACAAAGAGTGTAAAACCAGTTGTGTGTCACTTGCTTTTCCCAAACCATGCTTTATCTTTAATGTCAAGATTTTAAAATTAATCGCATCAAGTAACAACATTGGTGATCAGCCATTACTTTATTTTCCAGCCATGCTAGGGTGTATGAATAATTTTATTGATTTTGAAATTGGTAACAGGTAGTGTAGCAGACTGTTTCTCTCCCCATGAAATAGGCATTATCATAGTATCTGCCTGAAAAGGGTTTTGTGAGGATTAAATGATGAATCACAAGTCAAACACTAAAAACAATACTCAGCTATGGTAAAAAGTCAGTAAGTGAAAGATAGCTATTATAATTATTTAAAAAATATTTAAAATTTATTTTTAATTGAGATATAATTGACATATAACATTGTATTAGTTTTAGGTGTACAACATAATGATTTGATAAAGATAGCTATTAAAAATTTTTTTTTATTGAAGTATAGTTGATTTACAATGTCGTGTTAATTTCTGCTGTACAGCAAAGTGATTCCGTTATACATATATATACATTCTTTTTTAATTTATTTTATTTTTTATTTTTATTTTTTTTGTGGTACGCGGGCCTCTCACTGTTGTGGCCTCTCCTGTTGCAGAGCACAGGCTCCGGACGCGCAGGCTCAGTGGCCATGGCTCACGGGCCTAGCTGCTCCACGGCATATGGGATCTTCCCGGACCGGGGCACGAACCCGTGTCCCCTGCATCGGCAAGCGGACTCTCAACCACTGCACCACCAGGGAAGCCCTACATTCTTTTTTTAATATTCTTTTCCATTATGGTTTATCATAGGATATTGAATATAATTCTCTATGCTATACAGTAGGACGTTGTTTATCCATTCTATATATAAAAGCTTACATCTGCTAACTCCAAACTCCCACTCCATCACTCCCCCAACCCCCTCCTCCTTGGCAACCAGCAGTCTGTTCTCTATGTCCGTAATTCTGTTTCTGTTTCGTAGATAGGTTCATTTGTGTCATATTTTAGATTCCACATAAGTGATATCATATAGTATTTGTCTTTCTCTTTCTGACTTACTTCACTTAGTATGATAATCTCTAGCATCCATATTGCTGCAAATGGCATTATTTCATTCTTTTTTTATGGCTGAGTGATATTCCATTGTATATATGTGCCACATCTTCTTTATCCATTCATCTGTCAATGGACATTTAGGTTGTTTCTATGTCTTGGCTATTGTGAATAGCGCTGCTGTGAACATAGGGGTGCATGTATCTTTTTGAATTATAGTTTTGTCTGGATATTTGCCCAGGAGTGGGATTGCACGATCATATGGTAGTTCTATTTTTAGTTTTCTGAGGAGCCCCCATACTGTCCTCCATAGTGGCTGCACCAACTTATATTCCCACCAACACTGTAGGAAGGTTCCCTTTTCTCCACACCCTCTCCAGCATTTATTATTTGTAGACTTTTTAATGATGGCCATTCTGACTGGTGTGAGGTGGTACCTCACTGTGGTTTTGATTTGCATTTCTCTAATAATCAATAATGTTGAGCATCTTTTCATGTGCCTATTGGCCAAAAGATAGCTATTATTATTATGAAATTAGTGTTTCCATGTAAAAGTTCTTCTTCAGTAAAAATACACACTAATTTTGATCACATCTCCTTCACAGAAAGATAAATTTCTTAGATAAAGTAATCAATTAGAAGGAAATATTTCAAATGTATAAAATTTGGTTATGTAACAATATAAAAACGTACCAAATTTTCGGCTAAAGAGGTCATTGACTTGTTCTCTTAGTTGTTTTATTTTTTCAATGCTTGATAATCTTTCCTTCTCATTATCTAAAAAAATTAAAAAAACAAGCAAGCCAGGTTTATTCATGTATTTGCTCCCCTGAAAAGCTGTTGGAGGAAACACCTGTTAGCACATGTGAAAGCACTTTACCTGGCTTATCATTCAGTTTAGTTTTAGCAATAATTAAGCATTTTGGAAATTTGTAAATTTAAGGCATTATAGATGACAGAGAATTTTCCAAATTATGACTATGTAAATATAAGACATACTACTTTAGAGAACATTTTCAATATCATGCAAGATAAGGATGTCCACTTTCACCCCTACTCTTCAACATTATAATAGAGATCCTAGCCAGTGCAATACAGCAAGTAAAATGAATAAGATGTATGTACTAAGATTAGGGGGGAAAATTTTTTAATACTTGAAATTTTTATTCTATTTAATTTTGAATAACGAAAAGTGATTATGTGGTTCAAAATTCAGGTGATATAAAACAGTACATCATGAAATGTCTCCCTTCCATCCCTATCTTAGCTCTCAAGTTTCCTTCTTTGGAGGAATCTATGCTATTAGATTCTTTTGTATCTCTCCAGATATGTTTTATATACACCTATTCAGAAAAGAAGATTAATTGATGGGCAGCAAATACATTTCACCTCTGTGGCCAGTTCCAATCCAATGGTAGCCAGTGCTTGGAGTTGGCTGCCCTAAGGGGTATTTTCCAGGTAATGCACCAGGGCAGGGCTGTGAGAAGCAATATATCTGATAAACAATGTACAATATAGCAAGATATTCAGTGTGCGGCAATTGGAAGCATATTTTATATTCCTGAATTGTCTTTCCTTAGTTGACAGGGTGAACTTAGCAAAAAAATAGCTCCAAGAGACTAACCCATGTCACAAAGTGGTTAAAATATAACAAAATGAAAAACATAATCTAAATTATGATAAAGTCAGATAGAATTCCATACCTGGAATCGTCACCTGAACGATGTTAAGATCTTCAACACCTGCTGCAGAATTTGTAATATTGGATGAATTGGTGTTTCCTTAAACAGAAATTGAAATTTAGAACTTATAGAACATTAGGCTACTTCTCCTCTAAAACTATCAAATTGCCACTTTGATCAGAAGGCTAGACTAGGGAATTCCCTGGCGGTCCAGTGACTAGGACTTGGCGCTTTCACTGCCAGGGCCTGGGTTCAATCCCTGGTTGGGGAATTAAGATTGTGCAAACCAGGAGGCATGGCCAAAAAAAAAGAAGGCCAGGCTAAATTTTTAAAACTCCAGAGAACATTTAGCTGGCTTGGCAATAATTGATGTTTGAGTCTCTGTAGTTTAATGTCGATGTCAAAGGAGAAAGGGCACCATGGCTTTTATTTAGTGCATAGCCCCTGATACTTCAGTCTAATTTGATTTAAAAAGAAGGGTGTTTAAAAATATATTTCCTGGGACTTCCCTGGCAGTCCAGTGGTTAAGACTTTAAGCTCCCAGTGCAGGGGGCATGGGTTGGATCCCTAGTCAGGGAACTAAGATCCTGCATGCCACTCAGCCAAAAAAAAAAGAAAAAAATTTTTCCTTTGCTGTTATTCTCGGCTTAAAGGTGGGGGGTAGGAAAGAAGACATACGAATGTGTCCAAGAGGACACTTAGGAAGCAGATGTCCTATGAGAAATGAGGTAACAGACAGTCAGGGAAAGGCTCAGATGGGGTTATATAGTAAAAGCACAGTTGACGTTATCATGATTTCTGGTCAAATGATACACACAATGCTCACTTAAATGGGAAATGTAAATGAGCCTGTCTAGTCCTTTCTGAGGGACTCGAGAAGTTCAATCCCTGTGTTCTGTGAAAGATCAACCATTTGGGTGTTTGAGATTCTGCATGTGAAGAGCAAGACCTCAAAGGGACACAAGGAGACACACCATCGTTCTTCCCCTCTCCCCCCTTCATTCTCCCTGCCTTCATTCTTCCCTCCCTGCCCCCTTCATTTCCCCCTCCCCCTTCATCCTCCCCCTCTCCCCTCTCCCTTTCAGTTTCCCCCTCCCCACTTCATTCCCCTCCTTCTGGCTTCATTCTTTCCTCATTGGACCAAGCACAGTTTGACCCTACTCTGGCCAGGGCTAATTTGCACAGCCTAATTCTGTTGTCTGACAAGACTAGAGCACTGGGTACCTGATGGGAATATGGGCTGCTCTGGTCATAGGCACACACACATTGAGTTCAATCTTTTCCCTTTCAGAAAAAATGAAAACCGTACTTAGCCGTGTGAATGTGGCGAGGTTTTTGGCAACCAACCTTCAATTTTCACCTCAGCTTCAGGGTCCTCACTCATTTCTGAAGGGGCAAGCTGAGTAGAATCTTGAAAAAAAAAATTTCTAAAATGACATTCGTTGTTTATGTATTCTCATGTTCCAACATTTTACTGCTCCTATACCCAAAAAGTCGCTTATCCTGGCATTTTAAGTACATTTTATATTTACTAAACATAGAGGTATAAACATAAAGGTAATTTTAATTTTAAAAAGGATAATAGGGTAATAAAGGATAATCTTATAAGGGATAAGAGGAGATAAGAAACTTTCAGATATTATCAAATAATATGAAGTTACTCGCAGTAATGGACACAGAATATCCTTCTATTTGAGCTAATGGAATACGTGTGGTCCTAGTGTTTTGTGGTTGTCATCGGGAATCACTAGGATTCAAAAAAAGCCATTTGCTCCTTTCTTATCCTGCCAGCAGCTCCCAGGTGATTCGTGGTCTATTATTACGTGGACGCATGTAATGTACACGACATATACGTGCTCAGTGAAATATGCCAATCACAAAAAAGCAAATATCATATGATTTCACTTATATGAGGCACCTAAAGTACCTAATTGAGTTTTCTGGTGGATAAGAATTATGACATATACATTAAGTTCTACGCATAGACAAAAGCCTGGCTAGCTTACCTCGCCTAACTCTAGCTCATTTTAGAAAGATTTGTCAAATCTTACATTAATTGTTAGCAAAAGACTAGAATGCAAACTGTTTTGATATTGTACCATCGTTATGTAGGATGTAACCTTTGGGGAAAAACAGGTGAAGGTACATTGGACTGCTCTGTACTATTCTTGCAGCTTCTTGTGAGTCTATAATTATTTTAAAATAAAAAGGTTTTAGGGAGCTCCCTGGTGGCCTCGTGGTTAGAATTCTGGGCTCTCACTGCCGTGGGTTTTTTTAACCACGATGAAAAGACATAATTTAGAAAAATAAACAGGAGTTAAATAATGACAGAGTCCGCTTGTCTTCTTGGTTCTAAAGCAATGAAGTTCAAAACGAATTTGAATTTAATTTTATGAGTGAATGAACAATTCTAAGACTGGACTCTATCATAGTATGTTCTCTGGCAAAATCTACCAAAATTCTTCTAGGTCAGAGACTAGAAGAACCATCCTCTACAACAAAAAACTCCAGACTCCCTAAATCAGGAAAGCTATCGAAAATGACTGCAACTCGGCTCCTTGGAGAGAGTTTTTGATGTAAAAGAAAAACACAAATCATTTTGGTACTGAGACAGATGTACAACCCCTAAAAACAAGATCAATTTGCCTGTAAACTGACAAAGACATTCATACTTCTATGTTTGCAGAGGAAATCTCCTTTATTAATTTTATCTTACCTAAACCACTTTAAGAGTTTAGGCCTTAAATATGATGCTCAGGGTTTATATACGAATGGAGGGAAGTATATATCAAGTTTTACCTCTAATTCAAGAATTTCCTAAAATTCTATTCAACTTTGCTCAAAAGATTTTGGCAAGCCCATCAAGAAGACAAAATGAAATAAAGTAACAAAGGGCATCAGTGCAAAGTTTTCTTACCACTTAACCTCTATACCCAGGCACTTAAAGTAGAATCATTTACAAATCAAAAGAGTAAGAGAGTGACCGAGTTCTTAATATGACATCTTAGGATGAGGACTCGGCCAGTTCTCTAAGAAGGCATGTTGTCTTCTGTATTTTCAAATGTGTGTTTAAAAGAGTATATTCTTGGCTTCCCTGGTGGTGCAGTGGTTGAGAGTCCGCCTGCCGATGCAGGGGACACGGGTTCGTGCCCCGGTCCGGGAAGATCCCACATGCCGCGGAGCGGCTGGGCCCCTGAGCCATGGCCGCTGAGCCTGCGCGTCCGGAGCCTGTGCTCCGCAATGGGAGAGGCCACAACAGGGAGAGGCCCGCGTACCGCAAAAAAAAAAAAAAGGGTATATTTTCTTCAAAATACTGTAAACTAAAAAAAAAAAAAAGAGAGAGAGAGAAAATGCCTTATTTTTCTAACCTTCCACTGGTAATTCCATTTCTATTACTTCAGTGCTGGCAGAAGAATGATGGCTCTCTGAAAGGAAAGCAAACAAGGCAGAAATACAAATTTTAAAAAAGAAATCATTTAAGAACAATGCAAATAATTCAAGACCCCCACAGGAATATACATGTAATACTTCGACTCCCTAATATCAAATTCACACAAACGATCCTTTCTTTACGTTTTTTCCTTTGTTTTTATCTGTGCTTTGGAAAAATTTCAAATACAGAAAAGCAGAGAGATGGCATCATGAAGCCATGTGCCCGTCCCTCAGCGCCAACAGTCATCAACTCACGTCATCCCGTTTTATCCGTGCCCACCCCACCCAGCACTGGTAGTTTAAAGTAAATCCCAGAATTCAGTGTGCAAATATTGCATAACTACAGGCAGGTACATAAGTAAAGTCTCTTCCTTTAACATTACTATGATATTGCGATGACCCCTCCAAATGAACAATTATTCTTTATCATCATCTCATAGCTAGGCATTGTTCAAATTTCCTCAATTGTCTCATAAATGTCTTCTCTTAAAAAAAACCTTTATATTTTGAAATAGTTTTAAACACAGAAAAGTTGCAAAAATAAAATAGTACAAAGAAGATCCATCTACCCTTTACTCAGATAACATGATGTTAACAATTTACCCTGTTGGTAATCTTTGTCTCTCCCTCCCCCCACCCCCAATCTATATAGAGAGATAGATGTATATACATACACTTTTTTTTCCTGAAGCATTTGAGGGAAAGGTACATACATTATGGACCTTTATCTCTGAACACTTCCGTGACTATTTCCTTAGAATAGGGATATTCTCTTATACGATCACAGTATAAACTCACAGAATTTAACATGTGAGGCAATTTTATTTATTCTACCGTTCGTTTTCCAACTTTGTCAGTTGCCCAAATGTTCATTATAGCGTTTCCCTTTCAGTAGGGGATCCGGTTTGGGGGGTCAGGTCTTGTTTTTAGCTGTCACATCTCCTTTAATCTTGAATGGTTCCATAGTCTGTCTTCGTTTTTTATGGCATTCCATTTCTGAAGATTTGAGCCCCCTCCTTCCCCCCCTTCCCTTCCCCACTAGAATGTTCCTCATTTTGAGTTTGTCTGACGTTTCCTCATGGTTAAGACTCAGGTCTTGCATTTTCAGCCAGAACACTGCCTAGATGACGGTGTGTCCTTCTCAGCATATCACATACACAGGCAGCTGGAATTGGGGGCTGGCAGGATTTTGAGTTGACAGGTCTCATCCTGCTGTGAAAAAATAAACCACCTAGGGGCCAATATACAGAGGCCATCTTTGGTTCATTTCTAGAAAACCATGTAACTTCAACGTTGCATCATCAAACTGGTCAGGCTGTGTAACACACAGTCACAGATGTGACAAAGATCAAATTACTTACATATAAAAGCAAGTCACGCACCCATGTTGAATCTCGTTACATGACTTTACCAAACAGAAGTTGAGGTAAGTAATTTAAAAAAACAAAAACAAATTGCCTCGTGTTAGGTTCAAGCCTAAGCAAGATCAAGATTACGTTCTTTTCCTCCTCTTCCATTCCAAAAAGTAAAAAAACAAAAAACAAAAAAACCCCCAGAACTAAATATCACACACAGTAAATTCAGTGTAGATTAACTTAAAATACTGACATGCTCTGGAAAGTGGGCATGGAGGAACAGACCTTTGAAATACTTCAAATGAGGAATTTTTTGAAGGACCTGCTTTGGAGCACAAATTTCATCATCAAATTTGGGTTAGAGATATGGATTCATAGCCATTCCATAAAGAAAAAAGGCAAAATTACAAATAAGTGAATGGCAATGAAATTCTGACACCTGCTACAACATGGAAGAAACTTGAAGACATTACACCTAGTGAAATAATCCAGTCACAAAAGGATAAATACTGTCTGATTCCAGTTATATGAGGCACCAAGAATAGGCAAATTCATAGAGACAGAAAGTAGAATGGGGGTTGCCAGGGGCTGAGAGGAAGGGAATGGGGAGTTATTGCTTAGTGGGGACAGTTTCTGTCTGTGACGATGAAAAAGTTCTGGAGATGGATGGTGGTAATGGTCACACAACACTGGGAATGTACTTAATGTCACCGACCTGTGCATTTAAAAATGGTTAAAACTGCAAATTTTATGTTACGTATATTCTACCACAATAATAAATTTTTTTTTTTTTTTTTGGCTGCACCGTATGGATTGCGGGATCTTCATTCCCTGACCAGGGATCGAACGCAGGGCCTCGCCAGTGAGACCACCGAGTCCCAACCACTGGACCGCCAGGGAATTTCCACAATAATAATTTTTAAAAAGGAAATGAGTGCTAAGATGACCAGTATCAATTTACCAAGAGGACAAGGGCTCTCAGGTAAATTTATTCACAGTTATAGCAAAAATATGCCTGGTCTAGAGTTTTGACAACAAAAATCCTATGTACTGAATGGGTATCAAATGTGTTCAAAATGATCTGATAATCAGTGCTTTCAAGTCAAAAGTCAAAATTAATCACAAATTTTATTTTATACAGATTACACAGGTTAATCTTACATTGAATTTGCTTTCTAAAAACTGAGATATAATTCACATACCATAAAATTCATCCTTTTAAAGTGTACAGTTCAGTGGTTTTCCATATATTCACAAGGTAGTACAACCATCATCACTATTTCTAGAACATTTTCATCACCCCCAAAAGAATCCCTGTGCCCACTGGGGGTCACTCCCCACTCCCTGCTCTCTTCAGACTCTGTAACCACTAATGGACTTTCTGTCTCTATGGATTTGCCTGTTCTGGACCTTTCATATAAATGGAATCATACAATATGTACCTTTTTGTGTCTGGCTTCTTTCACTCAGCATTGTGTGTTCAAGGTTCGTTCATGTTACAGTGTGTATCAGCACTTCATTATTTTTAATGGCTGAATAATATTCCGTTGTATGGATAGACCACATTTTGTTTCTCCATTCATCAGCTTATGGATACTTGGGTTGTGTCCACCTTTTAGCTATTAAGAATAATGTATAAGTTTTTGTGTGGACATATATTTTCTCTTGGGAAAATGTAGAATTGGATATGTATCTAAGAGTGGAACCGCTGGATCATATGCTCCTCATTTAGCATTTTGAGGAACTGCCAAACTATTCTGAAAAGGAGCGGTACCATTTTACATCCCCAGCAGCAATGTACGAGGATTCTAATTTCTCCACATCTTCACCAACACTTGCTACTGTCTGCCTTTTTTAAAAAAAATATTTATTTATTTATTTTTGGCTGTGTTGGGTCTTTGTTGCTGTGCGTGGACTTTCTCTAGTTGTGGTGAGTGGGGGGCTACTCTTTGTTGCGGTGCGCGGGCCTCTCATTGTGGTGGCTGATCTTGTTGCAGAGCATAGGCTCTAGGTGCGTGGGCTTCAGTAGTTGTGGCACGCAGGCTCAGTTGTTGTGGCTTGTGGGCTCTAGAGCGCAGGCTCAGTAGTTGTGGAGCACGGGCTTAGTTGCTCTGCGGCATGTGGGATCTTCCCGGGCCAGGGATCGAACCCGTGTTGCCTGCATAGGCAGGTGTATTCTTAACCACTGTGCCACCAGGGGAGTTCCCTGTCTGCCTTTTAAACGAACATCATCCTAGTGGGTATGAAGTGATATTTTGTGATTTTGGTTTGCATTTCTCTAGTGATTAATCTAGCATCTTTCCATATGCACATTGGCCATTTGTATATATTCTTTGGAGAAATGCCTATTCAAATCACCCATTTTTATTTATTTTTTTTATTTTTATTTTTTTTTGCGGTATGCGGGCCTCTCACTGTTGTGGCCTCTCCTGTTGCGGAGCACAGGCTCTGGACGCGCAGGCTCAGCGGTCATGGCTCACGGGCCCAGCTGCTCTGCGGCATGTGGGATCTTCCCGGACCGGGGCACGAACCCGTGTCCCCTGCATCGGCAGGCGGACTCTCAACCACTAAAGCCCCATCTTTTTTTATATTGTGTGAGGTAGAGGTCCAAATTGATCTTTTTGCAGGTGGATATCCAGTTGTTCCAGCACCATTTTTTGAAAAGACTATTCTTTCCCCATTGACTAGTCTTGGGCACCCTTGTTGAAAATCAACTGACTACAAAAATATTGGTTTATTTCTGTACTCTCCATTCTATTCCATTGATTCATATGTCTATCCTCACGCCAGTACCACGGAATACTGATGATGAGAGCTTTGTAGTAGGTTTTGAAATCAGGAAGTACACATCTTCCAACTTCGTTCTTTTTCTGACAGCTTTGTAGTAGGTTTTTTTTTTTGTTTTTATTTTTTGCGGTACACGGGCCTCTCACTGCTGTGGCCTCTCCCGTTGCGGAGCACAGGCTCCAGACGCGCAGGCTCAGCGGCCATGGCTCACGGGCCTAGCTACTCCGCGGCATGTGGGATGTGGGATCTTCCCGGACCGGGGCACGAACCCGCGTCCCCTGCATCAGCAGGCGGACTCTCAACTACTGCGCCACCAGGGAAGCCCTGTAGTAGGTTTTGAAATCAGGAAGTACACATCTTCCAACTTTGTTCTTTTTCAAGATTGTTTTGGCTCTTCAGGGTCCCTTGCATTTCCATATAAATCGTAGGAAAGTTTTCCAATCCATGAACACAGGATGTCTTTACATTTATTTAGTTCCTTAATTTCTTTCAACACTGTTTTGTAGTTTTTTGTTTTTGTTTGTTTTATAAAATAGTGCAGCCACTTTTTAAAAAATATTTATTTATTTATTTGGCTGCGCTGGGTCTTCGTTGTGGCATGCGGGATCTTTAGTTGTGGCATGCGAACTCTTAGTTGCAGCATGTGGGATCTAGTTCCCTGACCAGGGATCGAACCTGGGCCCCCTGGATTGGGAGCATGGAGTCTTAGCCACTGGACCACCAGGGAAGTCCCTGTTGTGTAGTTTTCAGTGTCCAAGTCTTACACTTCTTTGGTTAAATTTATTCCTAAGTATTGCATTCTTTTTGATGCTGTGGTAAATGGAATTTTTTAAAATTTCAGTTTTTGATTGTTCATTGCTAACATATGGATATACAATTGATTTTTGTATATTGACCTTGTATCCTGCAACCTTGCTAAACTTATTTATTAGCTCTAATTTGTGTGTGTATTCCTTGGGATTTTCTATATACAAGATCATGTCATCTGCAAACAGAAATAGTTTTACATCTTCCTTTCCAATCTGGATGCCTTTTTTATCTTACCTAATTGCCCTGCCTAGGACCTCCAGTACAATGTTGAAAAGAAGTGGCAAGTGTCTTGTTCCTGGTCTTAGGGGGAAAGCCTTCCGTCTTATTAAGTATGACATGAGCTATGTAGGTTTTCTGTAGATGCTCTTAATTATGTTGAGAAAGTTCCCTTGGATTCCTAATTTGAGTGTTTTTTTCTCTTTTTTTTAATCACGAAAGGGTATTAGATTTTGTCAAATGCCTTTTTCCTACATCTATGGGCATAATCATGTGGGTCTTGTCCTTTATTCATGATGTTGTTATTCCACTGATAGATTTTCATATGTTGAACTAATCTTTCCTTCCTAGGATCAATACCACTTGATCATTGTATGGTCAGGCCATTCAAGATGGCTGCTCTTCTGTTCTCTGTACATGCCCAGCTCGACAAGTCCCTGCTTCACTCACATGACTACCCAGTCCTCCTAATTATAGGGCTTAGTTAGTAACTGGTACATGCCTGCCCCCTGCCCCAGCGCTGTGTTCCTGGTAACTGATGACCCAACCAGATGTCGATTCCCTCTATAAATGGTAGCCTCCTTCTCCTCCAAGCAGTGAAGGTTGCGGTTACGTGCTGCCTGCTGTTTGCCGCACGGTGGGGTGTTGCTCCAGGACTTTGCTTCAGATGTGTAAGATCCCCCTGTCCAATAAGCCACTGATGTCTCCGTCGCTGGGCTTTCTTTGGTCTCGAGGCTGGGCAACTACAAGGCTTGCAGGCCTGTGGGGTGCAGCCCAACAGTCATGATGTGTAATCCTTTTTATATGTTCCTGGATTCATTTGCTAGCATTTTATTGAAAAAGTTTGTACGTCTATGAATAAGCGATATTTTTCTGTAGTATTCTTGTGTTGTTTTTGTCTGGTTTTGGTATCAGGATGATACTGGCCTAACAGAATGAGTTTAGAAGTGTTCCCTCCTCTATCTTTTGTAAGAGTTTGTGAGGGACTTTATTATTTTTTAAAATTTATTTATTTTATTTTTGGCTGCGTTGGGTCTTCATTGCTCCGTGAGGGCTTTCTCTAGTTGCGGTGAGCAGGGTCTACTCTTCGTTGCGGTGCCCGGGCTTCTCATTGGGGTGGCTTCTCTTGTTGCAGAGCACGGGCTCTAGGCATGCAGGCTTCAGTAGTTGTGGTGCACAGGCTTATTTACTCCGCGGTGTGTGGGATTTTCCCAGACCAGGGATCGAACCCATGTCCCCTGCCTTGGCAGGCAGAATCTTAACCACTGCGCCACCAGGGAAGTCCCGTGAAGGACTTTAAACACTTGGTAGAATTCGCCAGTGAAGGCACCTGGTCCTGTGCTTTTGTCTGTAGGAAGTTTTTGAATTACTAATTCAAATTCTTGTTATATGACTATTCAAATTTTGTGTTTTATCCTTAGTCAGTTTCAGTAGTTTGTCCATTTCATCTAGGTTACTCGATTTGTTTGCGATAGGCTGATTGCCCCCCACAAAGATATCCAAAAACCTGTGAACAGATTATGTTACATGGCAAGGGGCAATTAGGTTGCAGATGGGATTAAGTATGCTCATTGCTAACCTTCAGAAAAGATTATCTTGCATTATCCAGCTGGGCTCCATGTAATCGATGTACGGGGTATTTAAATGTGAAAAAGGGAAGCAGAAGAGTCAGTGTCGGAGTGGTGTGATTCGAGAAAGACTGTTAATTCCTTGATCTTGGGCTTTTGTATCCATGTTCCCTTGGGCCTGGAAGGCTTCTCTCCCATATCATGCAGTGTCAGCCAGGAAGAAAACAGAATGGTACTGATGCTCTGACATCCATCAGCATCAAGGAAGCCTGGGTGCACTATGTCTCAGCACAGCTTGTACTGTGCATTCTTCACTTCTGGGGACCCTGGAGATGGGGTCCCTGCACATGTAGAAGACCTATGGGACTTCCGTGGGCCAAGATGTTATGTGTGCACGTGTAAATGTGTGTCGGAGGTCTTCCGAGAGATCTGTGTTGCAGATGGATCGTGAGGTCCTGGTGGGGGTAGCTTCCGAGCACTGGTGGGGCCATGTTCACTGGGGCTCCCCGAGGGCCAATCGCCATTCTGAGCAAGTCACACTGATTGTCTTTTTGGATTTAAAAATATCTCCTTTACTTAAAGGATATAGACATCAATACTTCAGCATGTGAGTATTTAACCTAAATGGTTACAAAAACATTCAGTGCTATGGAATAGAGTCCCCGATGTTAGGCAATTTGGAACTTTTTGGCATCAAGAAGGAAGCTGTTCTACAAAGATCTCTTGAAGAGTTCTGTCATTTCCAAGCCAAGCAGGAGAAAGATTATAAATTCACACATTTAATGTAAATGTTTTTCTTCAAATAATGTACTTCTTTCTGAAAAATTAAAATAGATCAATTGCAGGTACATCTAACTTGTTCATTCCACTGATGCCTTTTGGAGTAGAATCTGTAAGTATCCTATCCCTGACTGTATACGATTTGATCAACACCAAGGTCATTTAAGTTCAAAACTATATTCTTGGGAGCCAAGACGTAATTTAATTAAAAGTAGTTTGTTCAAAACAACAGTAATTTAGAAACAAATGTTACACTGATTCTTCATGAGGGTCACATTCAACTCAGCAAGCACATTCCAGTGCTCAGTATGTAGAAAGCCCAGGCTTGGGGCTCCAGGGCAGGAGTAAGATGCTGTGTTTCCTGCCACTAGCTGAGGGAGTCCTGGCAAAAGCATAGATAGAACACAGCAGGTCACACTAAACGCTGGAAGCTCCCTGCAGGAGTTGAGATTCTGACTGTGCCCAGAAAGAAGCAGGGGAACTCCTCAGTGGTCTGCAGGGTAGGAAGGGAGTCACAGGGAGGGATCAGCTTATATAAAAGCCCCGTGGAAGGCGGATTCAGGGCACGTTCAAGGAATCACAGACCGAGCTGTGTGTCTGAAGAGCCCAGGGAGGGTGATGGAGGCAGATGAAATAGGAGGGGAGACCAGAAAGAGCAGTAGGAACGTGGAAGGAAACTGGGACTTTACGGGTGGTAAGGAGTCACAGACAGTGTGAGTGGGGGAGAGAGGTGGACAGATCCCAGTTTTCAGAGAACAAGTGATTGGGGTGGGGTGTGTGGGATGGATTGAAAAGAGATCCTCTGCCCAGAGGGAAGGAGACTGGTCACAAGGGACAGGCCGGGCGGGGGCGCACGAGGGTGGGGTGGGGTTGGCCCAGGACAGAGCGATTACCACAGAGCTTCCACTGGCCTCTGCCTTTAGATGTTCTGAAACAATTTCTTTAGCGAAAGTTTCAGAGCTACGTAACGCTGCGGAAAATTTGTCAAAGTTAAGATTTTGTAGGAAACATTTCCGATCCGATAATGTTTGAGGATGTGACTGCAAATCGTCCTGCACTCTGTCTCCATTCCCAGGGGAGCTGGAAGATGGAGAAAGAATCTGAACACCGTACGGCAGTCACAGCGACATGATGGTACCATATCGTCAAACTGACATCACGCTGGGGTCCAGCGGGATTTTGGTCTTTGGGTAGAGAACCAAGCCACCTAACTGCACACAGCACCCACCTGTGCCATGTTTGGAAAGTTTGTGTATTTGGTAACAATTGTCTTCTCCCCGTTGAACTTGTATGCTGTCAATGAAACAACTATTAAGAAAAGGCACTTGATGGACTTCCCTGGTGGCTCAGTGGTTATGAATCCGCCTCCAGTGCAGGGAACACGGGTTTGAGCCCTGGTCTGGGAAGATCCCACATGCCGCGGAGCAACTAAGCCCGTGTGCCACAACTACTGAGCCTGCGCTCTAGAGCCCGTGAGCCACAACTACTGAGCCTGCGTGCTACCACTACAGAAGTGTGTGTGCCTAGAGCTCGTGCTTCACAACAAGAGAAGCCACTGAAATGAGAAGCCCACGCACGGCAATGAAGAGTAGCCCCCGCTCACCGCAACTAGAGAAAGCCCGCGCACAGCAACAAAGACCCAACGCAGCCAAAAATAAATTATTAATAAAAAAAAAAAAAGAAAAGGCACTTGAATTTTTTAACTCATCTCCATCTCTTTTAACACTTACTATTTTCTCAGCAACCTAGGGGACAGACTGGACAGAAGAGAATTAAGGCGGGAATATTTTAGAACACACAAAATAATATTTAACAGACAAACTCTAGTAAAATGCAGCCTGAAATGTCTTTACATTCACGGATGCCTAGAATCATGTGGATTCAGGCTAAGTATCAATACAATCTATTTTATGACTGTAAAATTGTTTACCCTAATGGCAGTGTGTTAGATCCTGGGTAAATGTACATGGATCTTTACAACTCTTTTCCTGTTTTTCAGATGGGTGCTAATTAAAATTTTCCATCACAGATAACTTCTAAAGAAGAAAATTATTATAAAATGGTATTACCTTGCATACTATATTCATAGTAATTAGGATCTTCTGATTCTTTCTTGACTGACATAACTGTTGCTTTCGGTGAAATGCCTTTGAATGCAATGGAAATTATAAAATTATGTGTTAGGCTAGACTTACGAACAGAGATATGACTGGTTAGTATAACTTCCAGGTTCTGTTTGGATTAACATAGCAACACGGCCATCAGCAAAAGAACTTGTAGCTCATGCAGTAGGAACAAATGGTTTATCCATATAAAAATATAAATATAAAATAATAATAAAACAACATAAAGCAAAGAAGGAAGGGAGGAGAGATGGATGGAAGGAAAGAGGAAAAGAAGGGAAGGAGAAAGAGGTCTAATTTCCAGTTTGGGGAAAGTTTCCCTTTCAAGATGGATGAATATGTACATGCATTTATATGCAATATAAGTATTGCAAATATTCTGCTGTAATGGGGCCCAAATTGGCACAGATAATCTTAATTTACTTACTACAACAAAATGAATTTCAAAACCTGGGGAAACTACATTGGTAAAACCAAAAGGCTTTATCAGGGAAAGGTGTAGTAGATGGCAAAAATTAGCCACAAATGTCTTCTATCCCAGTATATACACCTGTTTGCAATGTAACTTTCCCACTCCTATTTTCTAGAAGTGGAAAACTACTCCACCTTTTGAATCTGGGCCTGGCCATGTGACTTGCTTTGGCCAGTGGGATGCAGGGAGAGGCTTGAAAAGTGCTTGTGTATCAGTGTCTGCTGTTTTTGGAACAGATTTGCCATGTGAATGAGCCTGGAGGATGTGAGACCAAGAGGAGAGGCAGGCCCAACTCTGGCAGCTGAGGCCTCGGCCCCAGGAGTGAGGCCAGCCCAGACCAGAAGGACGGCCTGGCCAACACACAGAATTGTAAGAAAGATTAAATTATTGTTTGAAGCCACTAAGTTCTGGGGTGCTCTTTTATACTGCAATAGATAACTGATACTGAAGTATACATATAATTTAACTGTGAAAGTTAATAGAAGCAAAAACAAAAATTGTGACTAGCTCGGCATTTCAGCGTTAATTTACAAGTTGGAGGGGAGGTCTTCTGAAAACCTTTAACAGCTCTGTTGGCATAGGGATAGTAAGATTGGGTATTAACAAATGTGACTGTCAAAAAGAAAAATTTGTTAAACTGAGGAACAGAATGGACACGGCCGATGGCCATATCAGTGAAATGGATACTGCACTTGAGCAAGTTGAGGAAATTGCTCAGAAGTGGGACAGAAAGGTAGTCTGGCGGAAAGATTAAAGGAGAGCTCACAAATGGAGGTCTACTTGTGCATAAAAAAGAAAAAAAGCTTTTTACATGTCTGTAAGTGATCTGAAAGAATTTCCACAAATTGGTTAAGAGCTGTTGCCCTTAAAATGGGGATGGAACTGGAGGTGCAGTGAGATTTGAGAGAGATGGAGTTTTGAGAGGGGAGGGGTGAAGAGGAATTTTACTTATTACCACTTCCTACACTGAATTTTTATTTAAAACATGTATGACTTTTGTAATTTATAGTAAAACTTTAAAGTACAAACATTTGATAAATATGTGACAGTTGGGCTGTCAAAGAAAAATTTCTCTTCAATGCAGGCAACTGAAAGCAGATTTGCCGGTGCAGAATGCAGAACTGCTTCAGCCTTTCCTCAAAATAGGAGGCGGGAGGGGGAAATTCAGAAGTTAAAACCGTCTAACCGTTCTGTGCAGCAAGTGCTACACAAACATCACAGGAAATACGGCCAATGGATGGTCACAGAAGCCTGCAGGCACCTGGAAGCAATTCGTATCACGAAATCCATGGTAGAAAGTCACATTATTAGGGATTGTTTACAGGGAATCACATCTCCAAAGAGAGGCCTCAACAAAAGAGGCCTATTTTAAGGCTGGCGGGAAACGCTCATCCACCCAATAGCTGGTGAGGAGGGAAGGGAAGGCGGTAGGGCCACGGATCCTTGAAAGGGCCCCCCGGGGAGAGCCGACAACCCCTCACTCCCACCCCATTTGTTTTCCCGGTTTCTGAGAGGAGACTGTGGCTTGGGGGTTTTAAATTCTCTGTTACCAACAGAGATGCAGGCAGAATGTATCTGAGCTTGGAAACGCATCCAAGGCTAAGATGAAAGGGGCAAGCGTGTAAGGCGTGTCATGTGTAAGTGGGATGAAGACGCCACAGCTGAATTCTGTTGGCTGGAATATCTGGCTCCTTTTTGTTGACCTGTGTTGGTTTGACCTAGAATAACTACAATGGACAGGCGCTCTTTTCAGGCTGACGTTGAAGGTGGAGCTTCTACCAAGCACGTGTTTATCTGTGGATAGGAGTGACCCTGGGGTATGACAAGGGTGGATTCAGGCTACTCCTGCCCCAAGGGACTGGGGAGTCAGCGAAGCATAAACCACATCTGACACCTTCAGCAAAGCTCGTGCTCTGACCTCCATTTCACTGGAGGTAACATCTCTCTTCGCCTTCTCTCTCCATCTTTTCTTAATATTGAATATTTTTCTTTTACATTATCTCAGATTTAACTTTAACTTTACATTTGGAACTGTTTATTTCTTATTTCTATGTTGCATTTCTAAACATTATTAACTTCTCGTTTTACCCCGTACAGTCAGCTTGTGTTCATCTTTATCTTTTTGAGGTTTGAGTTTCAGTTTTATGTACTTATTTTAGGTTTTCTAACGTTTCTACTTCTAATGCTTTCAATATTTTTCCATCCCTTGATTAAACATTTGAGTTAAAAAATTTTTTTTCTATTTTTAACCTTTAACATTTTTCCTTCTAATGCCTTTTTTTTTTTTTTTTGAGGCGTGGAAGAGCAGGGATGGGGGTTAACTACTCTCACCATCAAAGAGGGATTTTTTTTCCCAATGTACATTGTCATAGTAATGTACGTCTATTGTAGAACATTTAGAAATGACAGAGTGTAAGAAAGCAATAAAATAAGCTATGTCCAAAAATAAAAACACTGCTTTATTCATAAATTCATATTCCAAATGTGTATTCAAGACTTTTTACCCATTTAGCAGTCAAGTTCTAATTTCCATATAATTAAAATAATAACTTTGTCTACAAATATATCTACTTAATAACATCTTAGTACCTAATATTTATTGAATTAGAAGGCTTTTTTTTTCTAGATATTTGAGTAAAATATGATTATTCTGCAAATAAGGCCCCCGTTGAGGTTCATTAGTGACCTATCTCCATTATCTTGTTGATTCTTTGGGATTTTCTACCCAAATATGGACCAATATATCATCTGCAAATTAAAGAGAGTTTGTCATTCCCAATCCATATACCTTATATTTCCTTTTCTTGTCTTATCGCATTAGCTAGGACTTTCGGTATGATGTTGAAAGGGAGTGATGAGAGGGGACATCCTTGCTTTGCTCCTGATCTTAGTGGGAAAGATTCTAGTTTCTCAGTGTGAAATATGATGTTAGCTGTAGGTTTTTCGTAAATTTTTTTTTATCAAGTTGAGGAAATTCCCCTCTATTCCTGGTTTACTGAAAGTCCCATTTTTAAGTAAAACAAAAGAAAGGTGTCAAATAATGACCTGCTGAACACCTGATTCTACAAGCATCGGTGTACATACCAGAATCTTCCATGGGTTCAGTCTTCACATTGATGGGGGCACAGCTAAAAGGAGAAGGGAATGCTGGTCAAGATGGGCAGGGTGAGAACTGCCCAAAGGCATCTGGACACACTGAATCTAATTCCCAGATCTCCATACCATCATAGGTTCCCCTCCCCCCATCAAACTGAATGCAAAGCTACCTCAACTTTAATGTTGTAACAAATTATTAAGAAAGTTAAAGGTGTCCATGAATATATTCTCATAATCCCAAGCATCCTTTTGAATAAAGAATATGTAACAAAATAAGACATTCTATAGCCTAAAAACTAATACATTTGGGTTAGATGTGGACTTAATTTTTTATTTATCCCTTACCTTTCACTTGGTGATGTCACTGATCTCTCAGCATCTGTTACCAACCCAGGCTCACCTGTGCATGAGTAAAAAGACACACGCTAGCCTCTGTCTGCACCTTGAAATATGACAGCATTCAGAGGCATATAAAGGGAAAATGAATACAAAGAGGACAGAATTCCTGGCTCTAGGTCATCATGGAATAGCAGCGGAGGAGAGACCAACTCAAAGCAGCCCCCAGGGCCTGGGCCATCTGGGTGGGCACAATGGGGGCCAAGGAGCAGACCTGTGCCGGGGCGACCTCTGGCAGGTTACTAAGCCTCCTCGTGCCTCAGTTTCCTCGTCTCAAAATGGTGGTTGGGGGAGGATTAATTAATACCTGCAAAGTGCTGATAACAACGCCTATCACGGAATAAGCGCCAGCAGCAGCCGTTACCGTTATTTCTATAATGACAACACAAGCCACCTGGGGCGACAGGCACCTGGCCGCCTGCCACCCCTCACCCTCCAGTCCCTCCCTTAATGTGAGCTGGGGGACCCCAGGAACTCACAGCTGCTCCACAAATACCTGCGCTGTGAGTAGCCCATGCACAGGAGTGTCTCACTGCCCTCTGTACCCCAAGGTAGTCCATGTGGACAGACCCTCCACCCACCCCTGCCACCTGGCTTCTGTACCTATATAGGCTCAGCATAACACCCTCTTTAGACCCGGTCTTTCATGAACAGCTAGGGCCCAAGGTTTCCAACTATGATCCAGAATAATAATCTGAGAAAATAAGGAAGTGGGCATAGATGGATCTCTAAATGTTCCTGGTAAACTTACTATTTTCTTTTTTGATCCCTTCATCAGTTAAGGGGCTTATGAGGGGTCCTGGTTTCCCAAACATGGTCTCAAACACCCTGCACGTAACTTTCTGCCTGACCACATGGAATGGGCTTCCTGGGGGAACCAAGCTATTGAGATCCTGCTTATCTTGGGGGCCAGCTCCTCCAGGAAGCTCTTCTGACCACACAATTCTAACCCCTTCTGGGGGCTCTCAGGGATTTCCTCCACGGGTCACCCCTGGTTCTCTGAACAGTCTCTTTCCTCCTCACAGATCATGTATCTCAGAAGCACGGGAACGGTCACACAGCCCAGACCACTCCTGAATCCCACAACGCCTGGCCTGTGGTTGGTGCTCAGAGACCAGGAAGTCACTCCAGCATCCTCACAGTCCTGTGCACATGGACAAGGTAGATCTGCTGCCCGCCGAGGGCTGGACGCAGACACTCGCCGGCATGCGAGCTGACGGGAGGGTGGCGTCCAAGCTCTCAGGCTGGGTATGTGTGTTTCCCTGAGCTGTAGTCCCTGCAAACATCCCCACCACCCCTGGCCCCGGGATCAGAGGTGGCCTCCTCAAGGCAGGAAAGACAAAGCATAAACAAGCTTTAGAATGTGCCAAACTTGCATTTTAATTAAGAAGCAGAACTGGTTTAGCAGTCAAGGGCAGTCACCAAGTATGAGAAGCTGTCACTTACCAAGCTGACTCACGGGACCCAGGAAGGGTCTGCAAGAAAACCAATACTGTTACCTGACATGAACACACAAGACGGACAGATTAAACATCTGAATAACCAACTTCTAAACATAACGGAACAGAATTAACTAACTGAAATTAAGTCAGTGTATCAGCTGTTAGGAGGGGGTAGAGCCTATCACCTGTTGATAAGGAATGAAATCCCCGCTTTGTTCTCCAAAATCCACTTCAGGGTTGCAAGGTCATAGTTCTCAGGATGTTGAAAGGGGACCCCTTCTGGGAGCCCCTGCACCACTACGGCTGCCTGGTCCCTCAGCATCTTCTCGTAAGGAACAGGCACCATCGCTGTCGTCCCCAAGGCTTTGCCTAGAAGCAGCAGCAGGATGTCTTTAAATAATATGAGCATAAATCCCTGATAGTCAATTTCACTTAGTGTCATAAACACAGGTGGTGATATTTGGTTCTGAAATTTATTAAAAGCTTAAAGTGTCCTATGCCTCTATATCTCAAGTTAATAAAATTTCCGACCAAAAGGCCAAAAGAAAAAGTATAAAATGTTTTCCTTTAAATCTTCACATAAGAGAATATAATAGGTTGCATAATCTATAAAAATATTGAATCACAGGGGCTTCCCTGGTGGCGCAGTGGTTAAGAATCCGCCTGCCAATGCAGGGACATAGGTTTGAGCCCTGGTCCGGGAAGATCCCACATGCCGCGGAGCAACTAAGCCCGCGCGCCACAACTACTGAAGCCCGCGTGCCTAGAGCCCGTGCTCCACAACAAGAGAAGCCCCCGCTCGCCGTAACTCGAGAAAGCCAGCACGCAGCAACGAAGACCCAACACAGCCAAAAATAAATAAATAAAATAAATTTATTAAAAAAAATATTGAATTACTATGTTGTACACCTGAAACTAATATAATATTGTAAGTCAACTATATTTCAATAAGTAAATTAATTAACTAAAAATAATCTATTTCCAAAAGAAAGAAAATAATAGGTCTTTTTCTCCATTCTCTTGGAGGTTGCACAATTCAGGGTGCTCACCCTGGTGCACCCAGGGCTGCAGGGAACAGCCTGAGGTTACTCAGGTTGCAGCCAAAGAGGATGAGAGCCCTGCCCAAAGCTTAGCTGTTCCTGTGTCACACTGTACAGATTGGGCCAACTTGCCTGTAGAAAGCTGAGTCCACCTGGGGATATGTCGGTGTCTCTGCACTGGCTGACCAGCCCCGAGGTGCTGGAGCTCCATTTCTCATATGGAAGTGTAGCCTGAGACCCTAAGATCCCCTGTGCTGTAGGAGTCCCACAAATCCAAATGCTCACAGGGACCTGCAGGTCACATAGATGTTTGCAGCTGTCTAGGAATGATGATCCAGGCCCTAAGATGCTAAGGTGCTTCTATCACAAGTACAACACCTGCAGACTTCCTTGTTATCTAGCTTTTTTAAGCACTGTGTAGGTATTAAAAAAAAAAATCCCTGTCTCCATGCCTGTGGGAAGATGTGGGTAGGTGGGGAGACCAATGAGGATGAGGCTGGTGTGTGAACCAACCATGAACATCTAATAACTGCATGGCCATGGGGAGGGGGCTCTGCAAAGACGGAAGGCTGATGAATTCAGAGGTTCCAATGGACCAGAAGAGACCAAGTGGTCTTCCGTAAGAAGACTTGATCTGGTACTTTACTGGCTCTTCCCTTGATGTGAATGTGGATTTTTCCAACGTTAGAGACGGTCTAAATAGTCACGCTGATAAAATGATTTCTAATACCATCTTCTGTAGTGAACTATTCAGAGAATTAATGCTTAAAGTGAGCTTTACCGTAACAAAAGCAGAAATAGTCCTCGACGGCTTTTCTGAGTATTTCCGTTTCTCCTGAATCAATCTGCATCCCGTTGGCAGGGCCTGGGGGTTTCACCTCCTGCAGCCCTTCGGCAATGCCTGTAAACGAGTGATCAGTACAAAGTCAGTATCCAAGTATCTGTACTGTGCGTTTCCTTAACGTCCATGCTTCTGGTATTGAAAGGAAAAAGGAATAGACATAAAACAAGATCTTTTTTTTTTTTTTAATAAATTTATTTATTTATTTTTGGCCTCGTTGGGTCTTTGTTGCTGCGCGCGGGCTTTCTCTAGTTGCAGCGAGCAGGGGCTACTGTTCGTTGCAGTGCACGGGCTTCTCACTGTGGTGGCTTCTCTTGTTGTGGAGCACAGGCTCTAGGTGCGTGGGCTCAGTAGTTGTGGCTCACGGGCTCCAGAGCGCAGGCTCAGCAGCTGTGGCACACAGGCCCAGCTGCTCTGGGACATGTGGGATCTTCCCGGACCAGGGCTTGAACCCGTGTCCCCTGCATTGGCAGGTGGATTCTTAACCACTGCGCTACCAGGGAAGTCTAAAACAAGACCTTTTAATTAAAAAAAAAAAAAACACAACAAAGAACAGGCTATTTCTGATGAACAGGATAAAATAACATAGTGATCACCTCTGAAATGAATCTACTGATAAACAATAAATAATTCAACATATAAGGAATTATTAGTAGTTCAGAGGAAATGGTAACAGAAAATTGTTTGCTGGGAATTCCCTGCCGGTCCAGTGGTTAGGACTCTGCGCTTCCACTGCAGAGGACTCGGGTTCCATCCCTGGTTGGGGAACTAAGATCCTGCAGGCCAAGTAGGGAAGCCAAAAAAAAAAAAAAGAAAAGAAAATTATTTGCTATCCAGTCTGCAAGTGACAGTCACTGTGTAGGAAGACCCTCAGCACTGGGCAGGTTTGGGACCAGCCCCCCAGTCAGCTGCTACTGCAAAAGTTTTGAAACTGTTTGTTTTCATCAGGGTTAGTCAGGACACAGAAACCACACATTAATTTGAACAGGGAAAGTTTAATAAAAGAATTATTAGTGGGACTTCTCTGGTGGTCCCGAGGTTAAGACTCTGTGCTCCCAATGCGAGGGGCCCGGGTTTGATCCCTGGTGAGGGACCTAGGGACGAGCCATAACTAAGAGCCTGTATGCTACAACTAAGACTTGGTGCAGCCAAAAAAAAAAAACCAAAACAGAATCGTAGTAACAAGGATGAACTGCTAAGGGGTAATGAGAACTCTAAACAACACACAAGTAACAGGCAGCAGGAGCATCGACCACCGCAAGGGCTGAGGGAGAAACTAATCCTGGAAGAGAGTCCCCCCGAGGCTGAGATCCAGGCCTCTCTGGGGAGGAGGCAGAGTCTGCAGGGGTGCCATAAACTGGGGCTGGCAAGCATGGACCCGTCCTCTAGCGGTGCTAGTGGAAACCACTGGCAAGTGGCCCCTGGGGTGCCGCCAGATTCGCTGTTGCAGGGAAGCTGTTCCCTGGGGCGGTGGCAGAACTCTGGAAACCACCCATGGGGTGATGCCAGCAGAACTTTCTAGGAGGCCCCTCTCTCAGGCGCTGGTGGAACTAACTCCCTGGGAAATTGCCGGTGGGTGTGGTGCCCCTAAGATTTCTCTGGGAAGCTTCCTTCTGGAACTTTCTGGGACTTCTGTGTGAGTTGCCGGGCAGCTGGCTGGGATGCAGGGGAGCCAACTGGATGCTGTGTGCGGCAGGGGTGCCCCTGGGAATCCCAAGTGCAATTGGTCACCGTGTGCTACAGGTACAAGCAGGTGTGAGCCCACTGGAAACGGGAAGAGAAGTGTCTTCCTCCTCCAGGGACCTCCTGAAAAAGCCTCCAAGGTAGGTCCTACCTAGGCCAGCTGCCAAGGGAGAAATGTTTACAGGGGCCAGTTCCAGTATCACAAGGCAGGACAAAGAAGGGTGGACTTGGAGTAGAGAGGCAGTAACTTGAAAACCGTCAAAGTGATTTCTTGGGCCAGAGAGGCTTGTACAATGGAGTTACGTTCTAGGGTCAAATGTAAGGCAAAAATCATGCACAGACAGAATTATACTTGAAAACCCTCAGACATCCAGGAAGTACAGGATATATATAGCTCTGTGTAAACAATTCTGCAAAGCAATTCCTAGGCATGTTCACATATCAGAACCAATTAGGCTAAAAGAAGGAAGCAGGTGAAAACGTGCTATGTGTGCTTGGTCATTCAAACAATTTTGGCCCACAGGTAAAATAAGAGGTAAACAGAATAACTGACAGTACTGCCTGCAGGTTTAGTCCAGGGGTCAGTGAACTACAGCCTGGGGCCACATTCCTGCCCACGGCCTGTGTTTTGTATGAGCTGTGAGCTAAGAACGGTTTTTCATAGTTTGAAATGGTTAAATAAGTTCAAAAGGACTTACTTCATGACCTGAGAAAATAACACGAAATTCACATTTCAGTGCTGTAAATAAAGTTTTATTGACCAGGTGCATTCATCGCCATATCACCTGCTTCTACTTTCGTGCTACAAAAGCAAGGTGAGCGGCTGCAACAGAGGCTGTAATGACCCAGAGACTAAAACATTTACTATCACTCCCGTTACAGAGAAAGCTCGCCAGTCCCTGGTTTACTTTTTATTGCTTTAATATTAAGCACCTATAACCCTGACCCAGGTTGATTCTAAATTCCTTCTGTTTTGAGGATTAAATTTGTGAATGCTTATACAGCAGGGAGTTGGTTTCTAACTTCAGAAGGCAGGTAAATGTGTTTTTGATGCAATTCCATGATAATTTTTCCTAACTTTCAAGACAGCTTCTAGAGAAATAACCATCACACGTTCAAGAATGACACCCAGTATTACTGTCCAGCGATGGCAGAGAACTGTGTGTTTGCCAGGAACAATGAACGATAAGCTCTGGACAAAATGAGAAGATAACTACTTGAAAGCACTGAAGAACAACCAGAAACAGGCGAAAGCAGGAAGGAATGCTATCCTCGAAAGAAGGGAAGCACACATATGGGATGAGATGCACATTGACCTGGCTTTTCCCCCATGGGAACTCCTGACTTCCTGTGGGACTCAGGGAGAAATAGAGCTTAACCGAAAAGCAGCAGTCTTAGTGAAACGAGGAAATCTATGTCACATATAAGGACTGCCATTGTGGTTAAACACTGAAAGGGAAATTCAGGAGAAAATGAGTCACAGAGGTAGGAGACCTAGTATCATCATAGCATCTTCCCTCAAATTCCTGCTTCGTCTCCAAACTGTGCAAGCACAGGGTGAGGCTTTAAGGAAAAGCAACATCTGGAAGGTAAATTGCTGAGCAGAGATTTAAACAGCTGTGTGGTGCCAGAAAGACAGGGTTTGGTATTCA